CACACACTCACGTGAAGGAGGAATGAACCCAGCCGGAGCCTCCTCATGTGGCTGCATGCACTGCACACAGATCAACGTGACCGCTCCATGTTGCATGCGCATTAGGGCCGCACACTGTTTGTGAAGCACCCTTGAACAGCGTGTACATTCGTTGCAGTACGTTGAACTCCCCCCACACTCAAAGCACACATCAGACTCCGCCATATCCAGTGGACGGTTTCTCTTCGAACGGCAACTGGCGCCAAACACGGCGCGCCAATCGCTGCACATGTGAGTCAGCAGAAAACAATTACTCGCCACGAACGCACACCGACCACCAGTTTCGCCAATACTCGCCAGCAATCACAATTACTCGCTGTGAACGGGCCCAAAGCAACAACCGCCTGTCAATCGGCCAGCGAACAACAACCGCCATCCATCCTCAACTGCATTCACCTCACGCAACAGCGGTGTGTGTGTGTGTGTGTGTGTGTGTGTTTTCACCTGCATCCTGCTCCTTGCACTCTGCTCCTCGTCCTTGTGGCTGCATCGCGCGTCTGCTTCCCCGTGCTTCCCCTTGCCCTTGCTTGCTTTGCCTGCATGCAAAAAGAAACACACCTTTTCAGCCGCAACATCCCACATCATAAATCTCATCATCATCTATACGACTGCACACACACACACACACACACACACACACACACACACACACACACACACACATACACACACACACACACACACACACACACACCACGCACGCAACAGGCTGGATACCGTTTTGTCCTTGTCAGCTTGTCGTCGCTGTCTTCCCCCCCCCCCCCTCTCTGTCTCTCTGTCTCTCTCCCTCGCCACTCTGCTCGAGCGCAATGACAGCTAGTTGGTGTGCAGTGTCGTTGTTGCCGCTTGCGCTGCTGCTGGTGGTGGTGGCGGGCAGCATGTGCATCGGGAACAGCGCCCCCCTGCCAGAAACTACCGCTCGGACAACGGCTTCCACCTCGAAAACAGTACAGGCCCCTGTCCTGATGCGGCCCTCGCAGCCTGTGCTGCACGACATTCCCAAATTTGTGTTCATCAAGACGCACAAGACGGGCTCGTCGAGCATCTCCCTCATGCTGGGGTACGCGATTGAAAAACGGGGCATGAAGCCCGCCGTGCCGTGCTCACTTGCGTTTGGCTACCCACACGACTGGCGCTCCTTCACGTACTCGCTGTGTGGCCCCGACAAGCTCAAATTCACGGGCGTCAGCAAGCCACCTGCGGTGGACGGAGGTCACGC